GTTTTATTGTATGCCATCCAAAGTCAAAGTTGCAAGATATGGGTAGCTATATAAAATTGAAAAATACTCTCCCTGCTCTTTTTAGGTGGGTCCTTTCTAAAGCCAAGAAGGACGATACGGATGATGAGATTGCCAAATATGATGGTTTGTATGATATGTTACTCTTCATATAGGAAGTTTTATTGCAATATGTTTTTTTCTATACAGAAAGAATATTTTACTAGAGAGGATTATTCAGTTATATAAGACCCAATTTGCAATCTGTGTAGCCCAGATACAAATTTATTTCCTTAGTGTAAGCTAAATCAGAGTTCTGTTAGAGCATTTAAACTTAATCTAGATGTTTATTAGAAAATCTGTTCGGCCAATTCCCAAAGTATTTGTTTATGTACTTTTTTTGAGGTATGTTTTTTCCCACTAATAAGACTATTCTTGTCCTACTTTTTATATAAAAATATACTAAAAGTGATGGTCATTGCAGTTGCAGAAAAAAAGATTTCATGAAAGTAGAATACAAGCATAATTTTTCACAAGTATCCAGATTAATAATTCCAACAAAATCATTGTGACTTTGCAAAAAGTAGTTTTTAAGAACAGATAATTATGCCTAGTTCTTACATAAATGTATTGATATTCAGTAGCTTCTAATAACATAAAAACCATATTTTTTAATTTTATCAAAGAAAAAGCTGCCTGCGAAAGGTATTGCTGCTAAGGTCTTCTGAAGGAAAGGAGGGAGGAGCTTGTAGTGCAAGCACAATGTGATAATTGTGAAGAGTTTGAAAAATGTTGTGTTTGACATATTTGCATCATATTTGCTATGGAAACAAAAGAGCAAGGTTGTGTTGTTTCTGTCTTGTTTCTATAGGCAAATGGGAAGTACAGGAAATGAAGGATACTAAACTTCCTGGGGATAAAGGACTTGTGTTGGTTTCACGGGCCAAACATCATGCAATTTCTGCCAAACTTAATAAGCCTTTTATCTTTGACACCAGGCCTCTCATTGTACAGTAAGTATGTTTTGCTGTCTTTTTCACTGAACCAGCAATACTGTACCCAATGCATAAACAATAGACAAAGGCTCAGAATGTAATTTAGAGCCACTTTGGTCTAGTCACTAGTGGTTAAAGCACCAGGCTAGAAACCAAGAGACTGTGAGTTCTAGTCTCACCTTAGACATGAAAACCAACTGGGTGACTTTGGGCCAATCACTCTCAACCCAACTCACCTCACAGAGCTATTGTTGTGGGGAAAATAGGAGAGGAATAGTGTTAGGTATGTTCGCCATCTTGAGTTATTTATAAAAAACAAAGGCAGGATTAAAAAAAATCTTTAAAAATTTTAGTTTCTCATTGTTGGTATATAACATAATTTTATATGATAGAATTGGAAATTGGAGGTACCGTATATTCCGGTGTATAAGATGACTGGGCGTATAAGACGACCCCCAACTTTTCCAGTTAAAATATAGAGTTTGGGCTATACTCACCGTATAAGACTACCCCTGTTCCAACGCACACCAAATAAAAATTAAAAAACATCAGATTTGATTTCAATATGGTAATTTTAATTCAAATGCTTATGACATGCAGGTACTTAGCAGGAAAACTGTCACTTATAAACA